TATGTATATGTATATATATATATATATATATATATATATATATATATATATATATATATATATATATATATATATATATATATATATATACACACCTTTGACTTTTTTTTTTGCTTTTTTTAAATATTCCCCAAATTATGTTTAACAGAGCAATGAACTTTTCACAGTATGTCTGATAATGTTTTTTCTTCTGGAGAAAGTCTTTGTTTTATTTTGGCTAGATATATATATATATATATATATGTGTGTGTGTGTGTGTGTGTGTGTGTGTGTGTGTGTGTGTGTGTGTGTGTGTGTGTGTATATATAAGGTCAAAATTATTAGCTTCTTTAGTTTTTTTTTTTTGGCTGTCTACAGAACATTCCATGGTTATACAATAACTTCTCTAATTACCCTAACCTACCTAGTAAACCTAATTAACCTAGTTAAGCCTTTAAAAATGTCACTTTAAGCTGTATAGAAGTGTCTTGAAAAATATCTAGTTAAATATTATTTACCTTCATCATGACAAAGATAAAATAAATTAGTTATTAGAATAGACTTATTAAAACTTTTGTTAAGAAATGTGTTGAAGAAATCTTCTCACTGTTAAACAAATTGGGGTAAAAAAATGGGGGCTGATAATTCTGACTTTCAACTGTATGTATATATACTGTAGGACAACATAATGAACTTTTGAGGCTTTTTAGGTGAGAATGTAGATTTATTTATTTATAAGGACAGTGCTTATTTTAAATATTTATAATTTCAGAGATACAACGCGTCAGCGATCATTAGTCTGTCACACTTAGCAGAGCAAAGAAGGTTGTTCATCCACAAGACCACATAATAAGCCCTTAGAGAAGAAATACTCAGTATAATTTCTAACTAAAGCTGATCAAATCATTATTAAACTGGTAAGTGACTTTCTAAGTTGATCTATCTCTTGTGTATGTTGTAGTGCTGTATTTATAGTTTTATACCATATTAATTGTAATGTATTGAGTGTCAGATGGGACTTGTATATCAGGAATGTGTGTATTTTGTGTTGGTCATTCTTTGTATAATCTTGAGTTACTTTTTGGTTGGCCATCTGTTTGTTTCTAACAAGTCTCCTGTTTTTGTTACTGCAGACTAGGTCAGTAAAAATAAAAAAAGAAGAAATGCCTAAGTGTTTAGAACTTTTCCTTATCGCAAACACAACAGTAATCTGGTAGTGTATGGCGTTTCATGCCATACAGCCTTATAATCTTAAAATGTGAGCAAGATCACATGTTTTGTCATCATTTCAGACATTACGCTAGAGAATCATTGAAATACTAGCTTTAAAGTGATGTTGGCGAGTTAGTAATGGTTTCTGCTGTTCTGATGTTTGATATTCCTTTTTATATACACGATTATGCTGTTGAATGTTGTACAAATGCAATATCACACTCGTAGCAGTGCAATATGGCTGTATATTGTCACTGGTGGGACACTAAAGTACTTGGCCTGCGGCCTCGTGCGACACGCCTCCCATCAGTGTTTATTACACTACTATAAACATTTTCGTCAAATTAATGCAAATAATTTCATGTATGATGAAATGGGAATGGAAAAATGAGAGCTGCCATAGTCATAAACTTTGTCACAATAATATAAATAAAACATAAAGTATTTTCACATTACATTTTGGTAGTATTCATTGAATAAAACCTATAATGCTTGATTATTAAAAGAAACAATTACTACTCTTAATAGTGAGAAAGATATTTTTTGCAGTGAAATGTTTAAAAGTGAACCATTTCAACAAGAGCTGTTTGAATAAAAATTGTATAATTTATATGAACAAATATGACTATTTGTTTAAATAAAGTTTATAATTAAATAAATTAATATTTAACCAGCAACTCTAATTGTAACTGTAAAATAACTAACATTACTAAACCATTTTAAAGTACTAATTATTCCAAATCTATTTTGCATGATCTCAATAACTGAATAATTAAATTACTTAATTAAATTAAATAAACATCCCTGATTATTTTAGAGCTAATTTAAGCTAGATACATTTTTTTTAAATATACAAACTTGAAGTATTACAGATAAACATGACATTGGATGACATTAATTTGTATTAAATGTGTAACAAGCCGTAGAGCATCATCTCACCGGTACGCTAGATGTCGTCGTGGCTGTAAGCTAACAGCTCCTCCACACGGCTGGCTCAGCGTGTTCCTCTTGAAGATTATAAAGCGGTTTGTGTAAGTCACCAGCAGGTCAAAACCATAATTAAACCCCGTCCATCGCCAACAATACTGTAAAAATAACCAAAAAACCCATCATGCATTTCATCCAATGGCTTAAAAACCAGCAGAAAAGCCCTAGTCCAACTCACATCTCCATCTTTGGTCAGTTTACGTCCACAGCGCATACTGTTGAGCTCAAACTCCTCTTTGTTGGCCTCCTGAGGTCTGAAAGGATCAGATTGGCTCATTTGCAATTCAAACACAGATTTAATGTTTAGCAGTGCAGGACGTTTGGACGTTTCCTCACCCGTTATCATTATCATGTTCAGTCCTCAGCATGGCGAACCACTGCTGCTTGTATACAGAGCTCAGCCACTCTGGAAAATAAAGGACAAAAGAGGATGTCAGGTTAATATCTGCCACACAAATCTCTTAATTCGTCTACTTACTGTATACTACCTCCTTAAAAGTATGTATTGTTTTTGTAAAGCAAAAAAAAATTTTTTTTTGTGCATAACAGAAGAGTAGGCAAACATTAAGGAACTCTTTGCTTAGTTGTGTGTTCTGTAAACCATTTTGTTTGTTATTCTCCACATTACTTTTATAAGTTCGTTCAGGTGTAAAGAACAAGAAGCCTGTCATGAAGAGTAATCTTCTTGTGTGTTTGAGAGAGAGTTTATTTCCATATCAGCTTCTATGACAAAAAAAAAAAATTAATCAAATTTATGATCACACTCTATGACAGAGGTTCACAGACCTTTCAGCCTGCGACCCCTAATATGACGTTGCCAGTGACTCGCGACCCCCAATATCCTGGTTATGAATACAGAAACCTTGCATGCAATGTCACACACACACCAAAACACCCAGGTATATTCTTCGTTAAATGTCAGTGCTGTAAATGGGCCAGAAACTTTAACCTGGTGTTATAATATCAATCTGATGCATCTGATGCTATTGCTGTGTCTTTAATATAATGTAATTACCACTGGGGTCGCAATCCAATAGAACTAGTAACTATAAGCTACTATAGTAACTATATAGTAATTATAAATGACTATATTTTTCTCTTAAGTAGGTTATGGATAAAATATGGTCATTCTTATATGATTTAATAATAATAAATAGATTTTTTTAAAATCACCAGACAACCCTCCTTCATTGTCCCGCGACCCCTCGAGGGGTCCCGACCCCCACTTTGAGAACCCCTGCTCTATGATAAGGTTTCATTGGTTCATGTATTTACTAACATGTACAAATTATGTACAATACTTGTACAGCATTTATTTATTTATTTTTAATAATTATTTTTAAGGGGTTTTTACCTTTATTGATAGGACAGTAGTGATATAGAGACAGGAAAGTGTGGGGAGCAGAAATAGGGGAAGGATCAAAAAGGACCTCAAGACGGGAATCGAACTCGGGTCACTGCCAGCACCTCGGTGCTATGTGTCGACACACTAACCACTAGGCTATTGGCGCAGACACTAGTACAGCATTTATTAATCAAAGTTCAACATTTACTAATACATTATTAAAATCCAAATTGATACTAGTTAATCCACCATGAATTAATGTGAACTAACGATCAACTGTATTTTCATGAATTAACCCTAAACAATATGAACAAATACTGTAATAAAAGTATTGTTCATAGTTTGTTCTAGTAAATGCATTAACTAATACAACATTATTGTAACATGATACCAAATTTACAAACATTTTATAAATATCATGTTTCTATAATAAAAAAGACATAAAAATACATAAAACATTTTTTTTTTAAATGAAGATGTACTTTTAATAGAAATTCCTTTATTTTTAAACGATTCATATTTTAAAATGATTCCTTTAAAGTTCTCCAGATAAAAACGCTGGTTTAGTGTTTTTAATAACGTTAAAAATAGGGCATAACAAAAGTATATGTTAAACAGGTTGTTTGATATTGCAATATTGACATTTTGGAGGAACTACACCTCAGAGTAAATGTCCATAAGTGAATCTTGTGTTTCCAAAAATTCCCTGAATCGGGCTCAGGCACGGTTCACTTGGCCGGCCCTGGCCTGGTTGGAGGAGGTGTGTCAGAGCCATAGACTGTAAAATATATGGACGTAGTATCCGTGACGTCACTCATAGGTTTCTAAAGAGCGCAAAAGAAGCCACAAGTAGGCGCGGCCAACCGTCGCCATTTTGTTTGCGCGTCATCACACCCCCGGCGGGGTGCCAAACAAGGGCAAAGAGGCGGAGAGTGAGCGGAGCTACAGACACCTGCTGGCATTTAGCTTGGACCTGGTTCAGACACACTTTACTTTGGGAGAAACGCTTAATACTTTATCACCTGTGACTCGTTTGTGTTCTGACCACTTGTGCTTGGTTGTATACTATATCAATAAAGTGTTTAGACTTTTAAAAACACTGCTGTAACACATTGAGCCACTAAACATTGTTCTTATGATGTTTTTCAACAGGAGGAAAACGCAAATTACTTCCAAACACTTCAGATATAGTCTGTGTTAGTTAATGTAGGACTATTGATGAAATCCAGCATAACACTGTATGACAACGCTTCAGATGACTGTTCTAGAGCCTACAGCTAATCAATTCGTCAGATTCTGGAGTGCATTACAGCTCAAAATATAAATAAAAACGATAAATGATCTTAAAAAAAACGAATACATGTATAGAGATGGTATATAAGTATGTAACTTTACTCACATGGGAAACAGAGGCCACGTGAATGGTTTGTGAGCACAATTAAGTGCACTCAGCATGCCATGCCATCTAATAATTGTAGGAAACAAGTCCAAAAGGCAGTTGACTGTGTAAAGCCACATAAAACAACACAGAAATACGATAAATATGCCGAGTTCAGTGGCTAATCTGCCGGATTCAGCTGAGGTGACATGACGGCGACAAACGAGACCTAGCTGTCAATCAAGTGGCCACGCCCTTAATTATGCAAACTTAATATAACTTAATATAAAGGAAACGGATGAGTTATAAAATAATTCACCCCCCTCACAGTTGTCATGAAGGGTAATATTACCTGTATTAACCAAAATCTTTTTTTGTACCAGGCTGTAAACACCTTCTTTCTGCTGTAAAGTTGGCCATTCTAACAGTGGGCTCAATTGAAATTTGCTCTATTTTGGAGCCAGGAGCGGCCAGGACTAGCGGAATTTCGGATGAATTGCAGTTTTAGTTACTTCCGTATTTGCTTCCTGAGAGAGAGCGGGAGGTTGCCGCTTGGTCAGAGCGCGGTTCTTTTGGGCTTTGGCGCAGTACGCTTTTGTGTGAGTGCAAAACGTGCTTGAGCTTAAAACTGAAAGCGAGATGTGACTTTTAAGGGACTGTTTCATATAGATTAATTAATCATTCTTACTGTTCAATGAATGCAAACTGTCATAGTTTATTAAAGGGGTGGTCTACTACGATATCATATTTTAAACTTTAGTTGATGTGTAATGTAGCTGTGTGAACATAAACAGCATCTCTAAATGTAAAAAGCTCAAAGTTCAATGCAAAGGGAGACCTTGGTTTTTACAAAGTTAGCTTAGCAAAGCCTACAATGAACGAATTTTGGGGACTACAAAAAATACTTCCGCCCTGTGTGAGATCACAAAAGTTTACTGCGCACACACACACTGCACAGCTTTGGGCCGTGGCCAGAGGCGCTATAACATTATAGCAGAGATGGAGCTAAAAATGCATCCAAACCCTGCTGTCTCCACACAGCTTTGTCTGTTTCTGTATTTGGGTTTCCAAAGGACACGACACAAAGACAGAAGTGCTTACAGTTCAATATTAATTATGTTACAGAGAATTATAAAATACATAGCAAGCATGATTTGACAAAACAGCTCAAGAATCTCTCCCAGGTCAGCGCTGGATTCGGCTAAAATCTCCTCAAAACAGAAGCTGTGAGCTACAACCTGTAAGTGTTTTTGTTTGTTAAAATCGATCATGACATGTACAGTGTCTAACGTTAACCGTATGCTGTAGCAACGATGTAAACAATTGGTAATGCTGTTTTGCACTGCAAATGATTTAGCTACAAATTCATATTTATCAGTCAAACTGCTGTAAACACACACATTCACCAGCGTGTTCGTGTCTCTCTATGTGTGTGCGACTGTGCAGTGTTTCTCTTTAGGCAGCTTTTCCATGCGTTTTACATCTCAGATAATGAAGTCGCAAAAGACATGTTGATAATTCAAATTTCTTACACCTGCATATTCCAGATGTATGTGAAAGACGTTGTGTAATGCGTTGAGTTAAAAAAATACAGGATAGCTCACCTAACTTGTGTAGGAGCAGAAAAATAAATCAAGGCTCACACAGGTCTCATCCCACATCTTGTGCTTTATTCTTCTGTCACGATATATTACAGAAATCCGAGTACTTAATCCGAGCATTAGAGAAAAAGAATGTCCTGCGCACATGCTCTTGTTACAGAAAGTTCACGCGTTCACACACATACATAAACGCATGCAATAGCGATCTCTCTTAAAGGAGCCGCACCCCATTTTGGCTGACTGTTGTGACTGATGTTTGTGACAGCAGAAAAGCGCATGCTTGTATGGGCGTGATGTGGAGCCGATCCGCGAATCGCAGCGCATTATGACGATGACCATTCAGAGTCACTTGAGGGCGGGCCTTTCAGAGGAAATAGGAAATATCAGTCGTTTTCATCTTAGCTGAGTAGCTGTATTTAATCAAAGCGAGATTTATGAAAAAAACATGATTTCCTTCAAGTGAAACATGAGCACACATTGCTTTGCATCTTATAAACACAACCAAGTCCTAAAATTACATTCTGGACCACCCCTTTGAAGATGTAAACCCCTCACTGCACGACAGCTGCACCTTCAGCAAACCTCCTGTTTCCTGCAGCACGAGGACATTATGATTGGTTATGAGCGTCAAAAGTGGCTAATCTGTTCGGCAAAATAATTGACTGCGTGTCACCGCATCACAAACAACTTAAACAATATAACTAAAGAAATCTACACTGTGCTGAGCGAGAGGGATTACTGACCAGCGCATTATCGATGATGCAAGCGTGCCCAGGCCCGAAAGTAATGTGAGTGCAGGCCGTCGGGGGAGATGGTAGCATGGACAAGTGTGCTTTGGCACAGTTCAAGGCAACTGTACATAGTGTAAATACGCCCTTGGATATTGCTTGATAATAACAGCAGGTTTGGCATGCTGTCCCAGCAGAGAACCCTGAGCTCGGAAATAATTGAGCCCAGGGCTCCCTCCTGGTCAATGAGCATGTAAGGGGGTACGAGATTAGGGAGTTCTCAAGAGCTCCCCAGGGTAAAAGACAAAAAAGGAGGAAGATAAAGATAGCAAAGTAGTTTTGGACTGGCTAGTTATAGTGAGTTTGGCTTAATTTGATTGATTTACTAATGATTACAGATGAGAGACCAGCCACGATCAATCATATCTTGTGCTTCTCTCGAAATCAGTTTGTGAAACTTCACATCTTGTGTTAACAAACTCATCATGTCTTGAGTTAAAAGAATAGATTTTCTTCCTACTAAAAGCTGCATTTAAATAAAAACCCCATTCTGCTTTCCATTTGTTTAGAATATAGATTTATATTATTGGCTTTAAGTCTTTTTGTGTGTTTGCATAATTATACATTCAGACTTATTAATTATTCATTAATTATTCATGCCATATCAACAGCATATACAAATACCAACACTGATAAAAGTTGTTTCAATGTGATTAATAATAAACGGTAAAATCCCTCCAGGATAAACCTTTTTAAAAATTTCCCTTAAAATATTTCCTCAATAAAAATGATCTCTAATATCATTTAAAAATATATATTCTATTAAAATATTGTATCATTAAAATGCTCCTACACAAGTCACAAATAGCTTTTTTCCCTATACATTCAGACAATAAAAGAACGCAATGTGGTTGCAGATTAAATATAATACATGTAAAATAAAAGGTTAGATATAAATAAATTAAACCTCTGACCTAAGCTTCTAGAACAGTGGTTCTCAAACTGTGGTACATGTACCACTAGTGGTACGTGGGCTTCCTTCTAGTGGTACGCCGATGAATCAAATGTGTCATATGTACATGCTACATAAATTTAAATAAATTATCAAAAATGATTTATATATGAATATGATGACATAAAGCCTACATTTATGTGGTCCAGGTGCTGATAAACATTTTTTTTTTACTTTTTAAGAACAGTAACCTACCATTTTTAACTTTTAAAAGCACATTTTAATTGAAATGTTCTTAATATTAGGAACTAATATGCCTCTTTTTTGAACTGTACAGAGCTTTAGCTGCTTTACTGGACCTAATACACTACTGTATTTCAATACTACTCATTATGGTGGTACTTGCAAAGACAACTTTTTTCTGAGGTGGTACTTGATGAAAAACGTTTGAGAGCCACTGTTCTAGAACTAACCATCACCTTTATAACTAGGGCTGCAAAATGCATTGAAAACAATCGCTTTTGAGATAATATAGTATTTTCGTAATTACAATAGTATATGCAACATCCATATAGCAGAAAAGTCCAATCAGTTTAATTCAGTTCATGTGCTAAGCATTTGTGTGTTGCATGCATAGATTATCTAAATCTGACCAATCAGATATGGCCTTACTGTCTTTATATTCGCCTGCTCTGTAGCTGCTAATATACTATTGACTAGACCGACCCAAATATGATCCTACTACCTGAAGATTAATACGTTTAAATATTAATGTTAATAAAATGGTGGGAATAGAGACACAAGAGAAAAATAAAATATAAATTATAATATTTAAATATATTATAGAATATAATAAATCTAAATGAATGGATGGATTAATGTGATTTCTCTGAATCTGACCGGGAGGTAGGATGTTGTCCCGTTCCAGCATGCGGGCTGAGGCCAGGTCATTAATGATGTACTGCAGGCGGATGTGTCTGAACACAGGGACGAAGGGCATTCCATCATCTGTGTTTAGAAATGGCTCCACTTCTCCAGCATCTGTGAATGAGAGTGACGGTTAGAGGAAGATTGCAGAAATATATTCATCTGTATATTTCTATATATGAAACGTACCACTTCTTCTTTTACACAGCCAGGCATCTGCATCCAGCAGAAGTTGCTTTATTGGACCGTCCCAAGATGGATTGAGCTGCAAGAACATCCACTGAAAAAAGAAGTGTACTTTTAATGTTCATAACAGACCTCTCAGTCACTACATATTATACATGATTGTGCATACACACACTTAACACATATTAGATGCATCTTTTTTGTCATCATCTTTGGTAAAAAAATAAAATAAAAATAAGGTTATGAATAAACATTCTTTTTCAATTAATGCGTATTTATAAATTTATGTATACACTTATGTTTAATTTTTCAAAAATCTATTCACAATAGAGCTGCACAATGTATTGTTTCAACATCGATATCACAATTTGCAAACCCGCAATAGTTACACTGCAAGATCTACAATCCCAATTATTATTATTATTGTTAATTATAATTAACTAGTAACCACAGTTCAGAACACCTCACTTGTGGATTCACTAGAGCAGGGTTTTTCAAAGTCTAAGACAGTGGGCCTCCCTTTTGACACAACTTATCCATTGGCGCCCCCCTCCTCCCAAACACGCACACACACACACACACACACACAGTATATATAAAGACACAGACAGATGTCAAACTGTTAATTCACTTTTATCATCATTTGCATGAAAGTGCAATTATTTACAGAGTAATAACAAGTATTTTAATATAACGTTTTTAAAACTAGGATGATGGTTCAATATGAATAGAACAGAGCCAAGAACTGTCCATCCCAGTCAAAACAGTTGAAGTTTAGCGGGTCTCATGCTGTCATTAGCCAAAATATCTTGACAAACCACACATAAAGGTCGTGGTTCATCAGCTGGTCCTGTCCATGTAAATCCTAAACTCAAATACAGATCATCATATCGTCGTCTTTTGGGTTTAAGCCCTGAACTTGAAGGCTTTGAATCGGGGGGTCTCAGAAACCGATCCATTGTATTAGCAGGCATATACCTGTATTGGCAGGCTTGCCAAACAGAAGCGAATTTACAGCTATAGCCTTCTGGGTAAAAAAGGTTTTCTTATTTTTGACGTATTATTTTTTTAGCTTTGTTTAATTAAAACGTGTAAATATAATAACAATACATATAATAATTAAACTTAATAATTATATTTTTATTATATAATATTTTTTTCCAGCGCCTCCCCTGACATGCTCTGGCGCCCCCCAGGGGAGGCGCGCCTCACACTTTGAAAACCCCTGCACTAGAGTTCAATCATAACCTAATAGGGATATTAAAGCCTGTGCCCATGAAATCCATCTGGGCATAGGAAGTTGTAAAGTTTATCACTTTAATGAAGATTGTGTTAGTTAATTTATAGAATGAAGGCTTTACAATGTTATTTTACATTTAGTTGTTGGATTTCTGTAACCCAATACTGTTAGATTCCATCATAACTCAAAAAATGCTTTTTATTAAATTTTTTAATTTTTTAGTTTTTAGTTTCTTTTATTTTGTATAATTTATGCAGATGGACTTTCTTGTCAATCATCCATATCAATGTTACACACACACACAAACACGCACACACGCACGCACGCACGCACGCACGCACGCACGCACGCACGCACACACTAATATATACAGACATATACATATATACAGTTGAAGTCAGAATTATTAGCCACCCTGAATTATTGGCTTCCTTTTTATTTTTTTCCCTAATTTCTGTTTAATGGAGAGATTTTTTTCAACACATTTTTAAACATAATATTTTTTAATAATTGATTTATTTTATCTTTTTCATGATGACAGTACATAATTTTTTACTAGATAGTTTTCAAGACACTTTTATACAGCTTAAAGTGACATTTACAGGCTTAACTAGGTTAATTAGATTAACTAGACAGGTTAGGGTAATTAGGCAGGTTATTGTATAACCATGGTTTGTTCTTTAGACTATCAAAAAAATATATAGTTTAAAGGGGCTAATAATTTTGTCCTTAAAAGGTTGTTTAAAAATTTAAAAACTGCTTTTATTCTAGCCAAAATAAAACAAATAAGACTTTCTCCAAAAGAAAAAAAAATTATCAGACATACTATGAAAATTTCATTGTTCTGTTAAGCATAATTTGGGAAATATTTTAAAAAGATAAATAAATTCAAGGGGGGGGGGCTAATAATTCTGACCTCAACTGTATATACATAGATGATTACCGGTTAACAGCGGTTCGGAAAGGTCAAGGTATTAAAACAACAAAAATGTTTTGTTATACAGTTTCTAAGGTATATGTAGAGGGTTTTTTCAGTGTTTTTTATGTGTTGTAAGGAAATCTGTGTTTTTGAAGCTATTAAATATAGTAGAAGTTGATGGTTTATTTTAATTATGTAGCCTGACATGTTTTCTGATCCAAAATATAATAAATGTTTCCTAAAATGTAACATATTATGTTAAATGTGGGAAAACGTTGTTGTTTCTAACTCAGATATTTAAAAAGAAATTATTCTACAGCAGTAAACACAATACCGCGATGCAGTGATATTTTTATCCAAGGTTATCATACCATCACAGAAACCTATACCGGCCCATGCCTAATATTTATATATATATAATTTTTAAATCATACAAAATAAAAGTTTTAATTGTAGCAAAGGAAGTATTTTAAATAATCAATTTTATTTAAATGACAAAATAATTAGATTATTTTTATTTTGGTAGCCGTAATAAAACATATAAATACATCTCATTAAAAGCCCCATAGCACCATTAAATGCATGAAATAAGCAAACATGTTACTTAAATCATTTAAACATTTTAAAATATCACCAACAATACAAAAACTATTCTTGAATTCTTCCTTTAATCAAAATGAAAAAAAAACAACACTTAAAAACATTTCTGCTTCTGAAACAGCATTGAAAATTTATGAGCATTAAGCAGGTTATATTCAAATGTTTTTCTTAGAGAATTTATTATAATCACATCCCATCTCCTACCTTCTTCAGTGCCGTGTAAACATCCATCTCTACTTGCATTACAAACAGATCAGAGGACTGAATGAGTTGCTCCATAATGTCTCCCCTACACACAGATATTCAATGAGATCAACCATTTCTAAACACCAGACACTTCATATGAGGTCAGAGACAGATGTATATATTAGTACTGTACCCGAGCTCCTTCATTAGCTCCACATTCTGATGCGTCATCAGGTTATTGAGGAGCCACTCTAAACATCTGCAACATGCAACAGCCTCAGTAAAGTGTCAAGTGTGTTAAAGAATTATGAAACTCTGAAGGGATTACTGACTTCTTCATGACGGAGTCCAAGCCGTACATGGTGGCCGAGTTATAATAGCTGCACACGGTCTTCACATTTACATTCTCCTTCATGGTCTCTCCACACTGCTGGATCAGGCCATCCTGAAAAAGACAGCAAAATAATAAAAATAATAAAACTTAAAACACACTCTACATCACTAATTACAGCAGTGAATATCATGGCTAAAATTGTATTGGGTGTTGTTATAAGGTTGCTTAGATGCTTTAATTGCAAATGTACCACAAAGTGCTTTAAAATGGGCAGTTTTGTTTGATGTGTGCAGTAACTGAACTGAAACATGACAGGACAAGATGTATAGTAGCTCCTCCCCCTTTTAAAAAACAGCCAATAGCCTTTTGTTATTACATCTTTGCCAGTAAGAGTAGCCCACGGCTTTAGAGATGCATAAACAGACTTGAATTTAATATTATGCTGTAAAATTGCTGCAGAAAATAACATAATAGATTTTATAACTCATTTCCTTTCTCTTTGCTATGATGACATGAAATAATTTTTAACTACTTATTTTGCAAGATATTGGTATTGAGCTTAAAGTAAAAGTTTAGAGCTTAAAGCAAGGATGACTCGGTCCTGGAGGGCTGGTGTCTTTCAAAGTTTAGTTCCAACCCCAATCAGACACACCTGGGGCCTCATGTACGAAGACTTGCGTGGAAATCATACTAAAACATTGCTCACGTACGCACAAAGCTGTAAATGTGCGTACGCAGAAAAAAATTCAGATGTATGAAACATTGTGTACGGCGAATCCCACGCATATTCTTTTGTACATCCGAATGAACGTGAAACTGAGCGCAACATGCACGAGCACAAAACCCCTCCCTGCCTCCCCCCCCATATGAATATGCTAATGACTCTACTTTGGCAAAACCCAACGAAAAAGCAATGGCAAAAGCAAGCATAAAGAGAAACTTTGAACAGAATGTGAATTGGTGGTGCTGCTTTCGGAGGTAGACCGAAGAAAAGCGGTGTTATTTGCAAGTTTGTTCTCCGGAATAAACAACAAAAGAAAAAAATAGAGTGCGAGAGTTTAGCTGATGCGGTTAACACAGTTGGGTCAGAACATCGCACTGAGTGAATTAAAAAAGAAATAGTGTGATTTATAGGTGTAAAATGTTGCAGTACTCTTAACAGTCTCAGTGGCGCAGCTCGTAAGACGCATATCAACATGTTTTGACACGTTCGAGCATGAACTTGGGTCGAATCCAGCGTCTGATGAATTCTTTCTTCTTTTTTCCCCCGCTACATATCAGATTTTGCCAACTATTTATCACGAGAAAGACAAGTAGGAATCATTAATAAGTTTGTGCATCAATTTTATTTGCACATTTATTGAATGGAAATGTTTCTGATTCACGCATGCAAATTCATCTTCAGATAGTGTCTTTATAGCAATGAGCGTGCAGTAGATCGCTCAGATTACATTGGGAAAACAGGCGACCGCTGCAAATTGTGCTTTAATGTTTAGCTGGTCAAATGTATGGTATGGAAACCTTATATACCTGCTAGATGAACCCGTCTCATACAGCTGCCATTGCAAGGCTCAGACACTTTGTAGAGAGGAATTTAACACAACTGCCTCTAGGAGTCGCCAATGGAAATAAAACAGACACGCACAAAAAATGTGCGTATGCCAGCCAAAAAGCTGCCGTGAAGCTGCGCACATTCCCACTTTCAGTTCATTGTTAGTAAATCCAAACGTGAGCGATTCTGAGCGTGAAACCTGGCGTACGCAAAGTTTTTGTGCGTACGCAGCATTGATACATGAGGCCCCTGGGGTCCGTTCTTCATACGTGGATTACTCAGTTAGCTGGATTTGAATGTTGACGATTTGACACGATCCAGGATCGTTTCGTTCTTCAAAGCTGATCCGAGCTGTCATAGCAACAGTTCTGGTAGATCAAAACTGCTCTGCAGCAGGCTTAATTCATATAAACAGGATTAGATCAGCTCAGTTCATGCAAAGAAAATACTGAAAGTATGTAACAAATGCTGATATTTTCTTACTTATTTTCTTATTTTCTTATTTTCACTATATTTTCTTAGTTATATACACTTGGGAAAATAGTAACTATTTTTAACTATATATATATATATATATATATATATATATATATATATATATATATATATATATATATATATATATATATATATATATATATATATATATATATATATATATATATATATATAT